GAGTCTAGTTCTTCATAGCTGCTATGGCTAACAAGGCTTTTACTCAATTGATCTTAGCCACAGGGGAGAAAGTGTCCAAGAAGTCAATCCCATAAATCTGTGTAAACCCTTTAGCCACTAGCCTGACTTTGTACCTCTCTATAGAGCCATCCTGCTTCAGTTTAAGTTTGAAGACTCATTCACATCCAACTATATGTTTATCAGGTGGCGCCTCTACAATTTCCCAAGTCTGGTTTTCTTCCAATGCATGTATCTCTTCAATCACAACCCTATTCCACTCAATAGATTTCACTGCTTCGTGATATGAAGTTGGTTCTTCATGTTTCATTAAACTCAGGGCATAGATTCTATCTTCCTCATTCAAGCAATCAACATTCAAACACACAGGATGCTTATTTGTGGCTGCAGTTGTGCCAAAATCTCCAAATGTCAACTGAGGATCCAAGTCATAATCATTGAGCTTTTCTGGTAATGTTGGTTGTCTGTTTGATTTCCTTAGAGGAGGTTCAAACTCAGGTTGTGGCATTAACTCACACTCCTGCTCAGGCTGATATGCTTCATGAGAAGGCTCATATGAAGTTTCAAAGGAAAGTTCAGGCTGTTGGTATGCTTCAGCTTCACTAGAACTGGGATCCCCCTTGTAGCTGAGACCGAGTCAAAGGACTCAGGTGCTAAATGATTAGGAGGAAAAGAAGCAGGCACTAGGATAGGAGGAGCTGATGTAGGGACCAACAGAGGGTCAGAAGAAGGAGGGGATGAAGGAGATGCAGGTGTGTCCTGAGAGTCTCTAAATGGGAGTATTGTTTCATAGAAAACAACATCTCGAGACAAACACGTTTCTGTTATCCAAATCCAAAAGTTTATAGCCCTTCACACCTACAAGTATGCCTAAAAAGACACATTGTCTGGCTCTAGGAGAGAAATTGGTCCTGTTATGACCTAAGGTACTGGCATAACATAGGCTTCCAAAAACTTTAAGGTTGCCAAGATAGGGCTGATGTTGATAAAGTTTCTCAAAGGGAGATTTTCCATGTAGAATGGGAGTAGGTAGTCGATTTATCAAGTGAACTAAATGTAAAATGCAGTCACTCCAAAAGGTTAAGGGAAGTCCATACTGAAACCTGAGGGACCTAGCCACATTGAGGATGTGCTGGTGTTTCCTCTCAACCCTGACATTTTGTTCAGCGGTTTCAACACAAGACATTTGGTGTTCAATGCCCTTGTCCATAAAGTAATCTTTCATATGAAACTCTTGCCCCTGATCACTTCTAATCACTTTAACAGATGTATTGAACTGATTTTCAACCAATGCATGGAAGCCTTTCAACAAATCCCTGGTTTCATGTTTATGTCTCATAAGATAAACCCAAACTGCTCTTGTATGATCATCCACCACAGTCAGAAAATATGAATAACCATAATAAGATTCAACAGATAAAGAGCCCCAAATGTCAACATGAATTAAGGCAAAAGGACAATATGCAATACAGGTACTAACAGGAAAAGGGAGTCTTTTGTGTTTAGAAAAGTGGCAAACATCACACTGTAGGATCTTAGTACTAGTTATAGTCAAATTGGATTTCTGTAACATGGAAATTCTATCGCTACTAGCATGTCCTAATCTCCAATGCCAAATGTCAAACTGGAAAGGGTGGAAGTTGAAGATGGTGGTTGCTTGTGGTTCTAGCTTCTGGTCTTGGTTTGGTGGTAAAAGGGTGAGATGAGAAAGACCTCTATGCTTTCTTGCTAAACCAATCGTCTTCAAGCTTGATTGGTCCTGAATATGACACAGATTGGAGTGAAAGTGTAAGACTAATGGACAATCATTGGTGAGTTTGCTAACCGAGATCAGGTTAAAAGAAAATCTAGGAAATCGTGTTTATGTAGATTTCCTTTCCTTGTTTAGTTGTAGTTTGTTTCCTTGTTCACTTAGAATGATGTTAGGATAGTTCTTGGTTATAAATAACTTCGTTCAATGCTTGTAAACACACGTTGTTGAGTTTTAATCGAAGATTACTCCGAGGAGTTTCCCCAAGCTTGCGAGCTAGGTTTGTTCTTGGTTTTTTGGCCAAGGATTGCAGATCAATCAAGCCAAGTAATCACCTTGGTTGATTGATAATTCAATCCATGTTAGCCTCCTTCCTTCTTGTGTTAAGGTTGCTTGCTTGGTTCCTTTGTTTTCCATCACATTCAACTCCATGTTTTAATATGAAACCACCACCAATCCTTCATCCTGAACTTTGCTGCGTGTTTTTGAGTTCGAGACCCTTCTTAGGGCTCATCAGAGATTGATGAATATATGATCTACCTTTTTGTGATTAATGAAGTAGTCCAAGGAGCTGACAATATGGCCAGTAGCTCCTGTGTCCAAGATCCAAGGAATGAAAAGTGAACCTTGTTTGGAGAGAGTGCATATATGATTACCTGAAGAGTTAGGATCATAGTGAGTTGTGAGAGCAGTAGAATGAGATGGAAATTGTTGTTTGAGTCTGGACTTGTCATGCATGAGAGACATTAACTTGTCATGGTCTGATTTGGTGAGTCCGATCTTTTTGTTGATCATCTGGTGGGGAGCTGCTGCTAGTAGCATTAATTGAAGGCATTGATCTGGGAGGTAAGGAAGGCCTTTGCTGAGGATTGGAAGGGTAACCATTCTTCTTGAAATACTTGTCTTCTGTGTGACCAATCCTCTTGCAACAGGTACATTCCAGAGTCTTGCCAGAAGGATTGGAAGTTATGGTGGAACCTCTTGGGGTCATGCCAGGGGGCCAACCATGTTTGTGGTAGTAGGCCTCCTCGGTATGACCAAGAGCATTGCAAAAAAGTGCAATGAGGTCGTTTGCATGGGTATATATGGCATCTTGATGTTCTGAGATGCCATAGCAGATGATTTAGGGAGGGACGTTTTACCCTGCTGGGTGCCATACATTTGTTTTTCATGTTGCAGAGTTCTTTGAAATATTCTGTCTATTGTAGGGAGGGTGTCTCCAAACAGAACTTGTGATCGTATAGAAGCATAGTTGTCATTTAGACCTCGAAGGAAGTGGATGGCATAGTTGGTAGATCTATAGCCTACCACATCATACATGGTAGCACGATTGTAGGACTATTGTCTGTGCAATGACCTGGATCTATAGGCTGGTAGTTGCTCAATTCATCTTGTAAAGCAATGTGATTTCCCTAATACTCAGTTATTGTTTGATTACCTTGTTTGAGTGCACCAAGGTCCTCGATAAACTTAGCAGCACGGATCATATCACCCTAACTATAGCGAGCTTTGAGGCTGGACCAGGCTTCAGAGGCGAGTTTGCAGGACATGATGGTCTTCTTGATTCCAAGTTCCACAGCTTGTTGAATCCAGCTGAGGACCATGATGTTGTTTCTGGTCCAAGAAGAGAACTGAGCATGATTAGCTACGGGAGCAGTGATTGTGCTATTGATGAAACCAAGTTTGTTCTTGGCCCCCAAAGCATTCAACATGGCTTTTCTCCAGTCGTTGTAGGTGGTGGTGGTTAGCTTCTCACCTAACCAGCATCAACCCTAGTTGATATGAGCCGTGAAGGTAGTAGGGATCCACCATGGGATCCTGTTGATTTGCTTGTTGTGGAGTCGCCATTTTGTGGGAGGCGGATAGGGTTGCTTTGATACCATAACAACGTGTATGGCCTTTGAAACCCTATCTTAGTTTCTCATTGATCATGTTGTTCAATATATACAAGGATTCACAGAAGAAGACAACAACTATAAGTTGTTGCTTTACAGAAAGAAAACAGAGAAAAGCAGGAAATGAGAGGGAACAGATTTTGAACAACGAAAGGGACATTGAGTGTTCAGTATCATCAAGACGACGTTTCAACAAGTCTGTTTTTTTTTCACCCGCAACAACGTCGCTCCACTTGAGTTGTGTACGTACTAGCCGTTGGAGCTTGAATTTGGGGATTTGCAGCTGGTGAAAAATGGGATTTTTCCCTGTTATGGCTTACAGCGAGAACCAATTTCACGGACGTCTTTCCCCCTTTGCTCCCTTTATATTACAATCTCTAATTTTAATATTGATTATATGCCTCAAGCTTAGAAATTCAATTAAAAACATGTTCTAATTTATATTTTATTTTAATAAACTAAATAAGTGGGTGGCCTAGCTAGAACCCTACTAATTGTCTCCATACATGGAACAAATAAAAAAAATCCCTAAACATTAAAACTTGCACATATGAAAACATCAAGAACTACTTGACTTTATTTCTTCTTCCTCCTCTTTTGCTGCTTCTGCTCCCTCTTCAGCCACTTTCCCTTCTTCTTCTTCTTCTTCTTCTTCTTCTTCTTCTTCTTCTTCTTCTTCTTCTTCTCCTCCTCCTCGGTTCGGACCTCGCTCGAAATCTCGACAACAACCTCGACAACAACCTCTTCTTCCACCACCAACTGGGTTTGGGCCTGGCCCGGCCCATCATCAGCGATCTCCACGGTGTCTGGACTGCTGATGTTGTCCTCGTCCTAGGCCTGTCCAGCTTCCATCTCAAGGGCGGTGTCGGAGTTGATGAGTCCCTGTGTCGATATTTGAGGTACAACACCACTTGTGCAATCGCGAACACCAAACCAAGAGCATTGGGCGTCTGCATTTAAATAGAACTACAAAATTAGTATTCAAAATTAATTAAAAAACAAAAAAACAATTCAATCTCAAGAAAGAAAAAGGAAAAGGAAACAAGAGCTTACCGCAACAAAGAAATCAGAGGTGGTGAAGCCGAAGATGAACCAGAAGATGGAGCTGAGCATCAGCGCCACGGACAGGGGAATGGGCGGCATCGATTCCACATTCCCCGTCCTTATCACCTGCAACTGTGAAAGCAAATAAAACACACACTAATTAATTGGTGTTCATCCCTAGCTCCTTCAATTAACATATTATTCATGAATTAATCAATTACTAGCAATCGAGAGGTTTCCTTATATACCATGACGCTCATCGGGGCAGCGAAGACCGCCACGGAGAAGACGGATCACATCGTCCCCACCACTATCGTATGGACATAGTCCGTGACGAAGACAGTGGCAAGGACGATGGCTGCTAGCGCCACCATGTTGAACGCCGCCAGTTTGATCCCCGCGGAAACCTATTAAAAATTAAAAAAAGATATTAATTATTATTTATCACAAAATTATTCACTTATCATAAACTTAATAAAAATAAGTAGTGAACCGGAAAAAATCACTTACCCTCGTCTGTGTGGACGAGTATCGAAAGTACACACTGAGGTAGAAGACCTCGATGATGCTTCCGATGACGTTGATGGTGAGGATGATGGAGGACCGCTTCAAAATCCCATAGTAAATGTACAGGGTGGCACTAAAAAGTGTCACCATGTACGGGCGGATTTTGAAGCCCGTCGTGTGCTTCTCTCGTATAATTCTCCGAAAGGAGCCTATGAAATTAAAAAAAATATTGTTACGTATGGGAGATGCAGGAAGAAAGAATGTACATTACATGTATATGAAGAGGGAAACAAAGAAAAATAGAAAACGACTACTTACATCGGACTCAGGAAGATCGTTAGTGCTATGACGCTCCCTGGAATTTGAAATAAGAGGGGAAAAATATATATTATAACGTACTGAAATTCTTGTAAAGTATCTATGCCCTTAGTTAAGAAGAGAATGATGAAAACTATTTGCATCGAACAAGTAACTTTATGTAAAGAAAAAGGAGGAAGTTATTTGGTTTGGTAATAATGGACAAATTGCATGCATACCTATTATCCCCGAGATTTCCTGCACTAGCTGCATGGTCTCCGGACCCATCGCCATTGGAAGAGTAGTGTTGGAGAAAAGGGAGGGCCGAGGGAGGGAGCCAGTGGAGTGGAGTGGCCGCCGGAGGGAGAGGGCGGGGAGATGTTTTCCGGCGAGGGGATGTTAATGCATGTTTAGGACGGAAGACGATCGATGGAGGTTTATTATTGTTAGATGGAAATTAAACAAGTTTCAAAAGAGGAGGGAGTGAGTTAATGCCGGGTTGTGGGAATGGAGAGCTGGGATAATGGAGTTTATAATATATATATATGGACCGGAATGGAGTTTAATTATCGATCTCCGACGTCGTCAGCACATGCAGTTGAAGGACCACTCATGTTATATAAATGGAGGAAACCATAAATCCTGTTGTGTTTTACTTTGTTACCATATGGTAAAATGTGATAAGCAGTGGTTTCATGTTATATAAATGGAGGAAACCATAATTCATGTTGTGTTTTACTTTGTTACCATATGGTAAAATGTGATAAGCAGTGGTTTCATGTTATATAAATGGATGAAACCATAAGTTCTGTTGTGATTTACTTTGTTACCATATGGTAAAATGTGATAAGCAGTGGTTTCATGTTATATAAATGGATGAAACCATAAGTCCTGTTGTGATTTACTTTGTTACCATATGGTAAAATGTGATAAGCAGTGGTTTCATGTTATATAAATGGAGGAAACCAAAAGTCCTGTTGTGATTTACTTTGTTACCATATGGTAAAATGTGATAAGCAGTGGTTTCATGTTATATAAATGGAGGAAACCATAAGTCCTGTTGTGATTTACTTTGTTACCATATGGTAAATGGTCATAAGCAGTGGTTTCATGTTATATAAATGGAGAAAACCATAAGTCCTGTTGTGTTTTACTTTGTTACCATATGGTAAGATGTGATAAGCAGTTGGTTCATGTTATATAAATGGAGGAAACCACAATTGCTGTAGTGTTTTACTTTGTTACCATATGGTAAAAAGTGATAAGAGTTGGTTCATGTTATAGAAATGGAGGAAACCACAATTGTTGTAGTGTTTTACTTTGTTACCATATGGTAAAAAGTGATAAACAGTTGGTTCATGTTATAAAAATGGAGGAAACAATATTTTCTGTTGTTTTTTACTTTGTTACCATATGGTAAGATGTGATAAGCTATGGTTTCATGTGATAAAAATGGAAGAAACTATAAATCCTGTCGTGATTTACTTTGTTACCATATGGTAAGATGTGATCAATCTATGGTTTGATTTGGTATGGTAGGAAACCTTTATGGTACCATATGATATATCATGGTAAAAAGTTTCCTAATAGACTATTCTTGTTTTCTACATTCAGGTACACTATGGTGAAAGAAAGAAAAGGTTTTCGCACAAGGTGCAGCCCAACTAAAGTATCTGCAATTACAAGGACATTAAAAGATGTACATAGAGAGATACTTCAAACATTAGGCCTAGCAGGCTTAACATCAATCAGGAAGACAAAGATAAACTCACATTTTGCATTGTTCACAATGAACAGATACAATCCAATGACAGAATCGTTCAAGCTACCTGATGGGACACGCCTGAAGATATCAGCAATCGACTTTCATAGAGTATATGGTCTGTCAATGGGGAATAGTGAAGTTGTACCTCCCAAAATTTCTTGGGACGACGCAGCAGATTATGCAATAGAAACCCTACTGGAAGTAGATGGATCAGGAACAACTCCGAAGGTAAAGCTAAGTCAGGTAGAAAAAGATCTTCCTACAACTAAAAACACTAACAGATGGTTGCAATTATTCTTTCTGCTGGTCACCGGAGGCTTGCTGTGTCCAACTTCAACCCCTACTGCTGAACTCAACATGCTTGAGTACTTGAAGACTGATGAAAGGAAACATTTCACCAGCTACAACTGGTGCAAATACTTCTTCAAACACATAAATGAAGGATTGAAATCAGGAAACCTTTACGTCAATGCAGATCTTCACTTCCTTACAGTAAGTCTCCATTCCCTTGGCCATTTCAACCTTATTACTCATATATTTTATATACAAATGTTAGTCTTTGAAAAAACTAATACAACTATCCACATAAAAAAGGTATGCTTCATATACAAGCTCGACGAAATGACGTTCTCAACCCAGCTTCGAACCCCAACAGTAAGCTACTATGATGATCTCAATGTCCAAAGCAACTTTGAGAACATTAAGAGCTACTACAATGGAGAAGAGTTGAGCCAGATAGAAAAGCTTGACAACATTATTGTTGATGAGCCTGATGATGCAACTGATGAGGATCATGAGAATGAGCCAGTCTATCAATCACCGAAAAGACAGAGAACCAAAACTCCAGACCAGTCATCATCACTGGACTTTGATTTGCAGAATATCAGAACAGTCTACCAAGTAAGTACAAATTATATGTATTCCAGTTGTCCATTTCAGCTAATATAATGTAATAGAGTGTTAATAATTGCCAATACCATGTATTACCACCATGGTAACTAACTATACACCATACAAACATTACCACCATGGTAACTCACTATACACCATACACACATTACCACCACGGTAACTTACAAAAACTAAAATCATATTATGCAGGCTGAGAATGCAATCAAACTGCTTGAAGCATCGATGAAGGCAATGATGAAAGCAATCAAAGAGCAGTACAACAAGCAACTAGACAAGATGATCAAACACAAAGAGAATCTTCAGAAAGAAAGCTCTGATGAATATGGTCAGCACACAGGAGAAAAATCTGGCAAACAGGTGGTAGAAACAGACAGTGAGTGTGAAGATGATGAACAAGAGAACGATGAAGAAATCAATGCCGCTTTGGATAAAACCCTGAAGACAATATTGAAAGAGGCAAAGCTACACAAGAAGAAACAGGAGGACAAGGAGGAAACACAATAAGAAGATGATTCACAACCAACTACAGTCGATCTTGCTGCACCTACACCAAAGCCAAAAGAAAAGGAGCAAGATGATTCTGCTGTTGAAGTAGATGTATCATCAAACAAGGGAACCACCAAAGAAGTTCCAGAAAAACCTGCTGCAAGAGAAGAAGAAGAAGAACCAAAATCTGCTCCAGAAGGTGTGAATAGAGAAAGCAACCAAGAAGGAGTTCCACTGGTGAAAGTTGAAAGAGAACCACCAGCACAATCTGTTCAAGAAGGTCTGAATCAGGAGGAGAACAACAAAAATGGAGTTCCAGAAAAGACAACTGCAAAAGAAACAGGAGAAGAAGGACCTAGAGAAATAGCAGATCCAATGTATCTTGACAAGGGAACACCACAAGAAGGGAATGCAGGTCAAGCTGTGGAAAAGGAAGAAAGTGACAGCGAGAAGACAGAGTCAGATGATGTTGTTCGAGAAGAGATTCCTAAATTGCCAACCAAGGATACTGAGACGACTAAAGTGACAAGGGAAGATGACATTCCATCCTTCGATCTCAGCCCTTTCAACCATCAAACACCACCAACAACAGAAAAGCTGACTGCCACCACGGCAACCAATCAACCAGAAGAGCCTCGCAAAAGAAGAATCTTGGTGAAGAATGTGCATGGAAACAAAAAGAAGCCAAGAACAACACCACCACCTACACAGCCACAAACCACCCAGTCACAAAAGGAGTCATATATAATATGGGTAAATCTGTACACAAACAGCCAAGAGAAGCTCAAGGAAGTACGTGAATGTATAGATGCTTACCTCCATGACCTGAATACACCAACTGTTCAACCACCTGCTGCAAAATCACGAAGATCACCCATTTCAAGTATGACAACACCAACAGAAACAACACATGATGAACTGTTTAGCAACATCCTGGAGTACATAAGATGCAAAAACAAGAAAGTTGCCAACAGGTAAGACATCACCTTAAAACTTCTAATGTTATATGATGTTACAAAAATGAGGAAATCATAAATACTGTTGTGATCTGGTTTCTTACCATATGGTAAGATATGGTTTGATATTATAAAATGGAGTATTCCATAAATTTTAGTTTATTACCATATGGTAAGGTGTGGTAAGCTATGGTTTAATGTTATAAAATTTAGTAATCTACAAGTCCTATTGTGTTTTACTTTGTTACCATATGGTAAGGTGTGGTAAGCTATGGTTTGTTGTTATAGAATGGATTAAACCATAACTCCTATTGTATTTTGGTTTATTACCATATGGTAAGAAGTGGTAAGAAGTGTCTTTATGCTATAGAATGGAATAAACCATAACTCCTGTTGTGTTTTGGTTTATTACCATATGGTAAGATTAGATAAATCTACAAGTCCTGTTTTGTTTTGGTTAAATACCATATGGTAAGATGTGGTAACCTATGCTTTAATGTTATAAAATAGAATAACCCATAAGTCCTGTTGTGTTGTGCTTTTATACAGTGAAGAGATAAGTTTAGAAGGAAGGATGGAACATTCTTACTGAAAAGGGAGTCAATACAGTCGATTGACATTGACTGTGAAATCACATCTGATGTCATCGACTGGTATGGAGATAGAATGAACAGGAATGAAGCAAAAAAAAAGGAAAATTCAAAAGGTGGTTCTTCGATGGATCATACGCAGTAAGTAAACCCACCCATATTCTGTCAATAGTTCTTAGAAAACACTTATATAAAACACAAAATAACAACCATGACTTTCAGGGTGACTGCCAACTGGACATTGATAGTGACAATCCTCTACTAACTCCAGATGATTACTACAATAGAGTGGACTTGGACATCACCAACAAAGAATGGGCAAAAGACCTCAGCTTCACAAAATGTAACCATGTAAGTATCTCAACACAATTTTATATCATAACATGTGGCAAGTGCTTACCATATGGTATATTATGGTAAAATTCTTTTGCAGTGGTTCTTCCCTTACTGTAACAACAAGCACTACATCATGATTTGTGTGAACATCAAAGGAGAAAGGTTTGACGTGCTCGACAGCCTCCGTAACAAAAGTTTTGAAGATAACTACAAACCAATGGCAGAGAGGGTTGTCCAGTACGCAATCAA